CCAGGAACTCGCGAAATCTTAACGCGTCATGAGGAGCATTGTCATGGTGGAGAATTCATTTGTCAGTCTAGAGTTCGGGTCTATTCCTCCGAACAAATCCCCGTAACATTGTCAGCGCTTCCAAATAACACTGTTGATTCACCGTTTGTTCGTACTCTCTCCACATTTGCATCTGTCCTTTGAGTTTTTGGTTGTCCACTTCTTGGGTCATCTTGTACATCTTCTCGTCTTTCCTTCAAAAACCTATGGCATTCAAAAACGCTCGATATCTTCGTAGCGTATTCACCATAAGCCACTGTTAACAGGGCTAACGTTTCACTAGCACTTTTACCCATCTTCACCCAAAACTTGTTGCTCCAGATTCATGTCACTCGTTTTTCCGCCAACAGCATGCCACAGACACGTACTACTTCCTCTCTTGCTTGGGAACGAACGAGTGATTTGGTTTGTGGCTCATGTAAACGTAAGATGAAACATGTGCAAATGTGCCTGGGTACATGAGTTTGCCTGACTCAACACCCTAGCGACACGCTGCCGCCCTTTCGGGAATTAAATTGTCACACCTTGTATTTAACGACACCGTCAGAACTTCAGACTAAATGGCGTCGAATGATGGGACAATTAAATTAACTGAAAAAAGATGTTGAAGGATGCGGTAACTGCCCGAAAGAAAGTGAATTTCGGCCGTTGCTTGGAGAAGCTAAGGGAAATCAAGGAAAACCTCACTCGAAATAGTCGAACTGCTCACTTCCTGAGTATAAGTTATAATCGCCAGAGCGTCAGCCAACAGGCGCGACGCCTCATGTAGAATCTGTGGATATGCTCAAGATCTGTCTTCATACCAGCTTCGAAATGCCTAGCGCCAACAGCGGACCACTTGTCTCTGTCAAACAGAGAGTCACATACAGATTTCACGTTGCTGCCACATCACTATTTTACTGTCTTAAAAACTCATTAATAAAAGCTGCATTCTTTCCAAGAACTAGTACAATACAGCGTGATTCTAAATTACTGTCGCAGTTTCCGTGGCCTATAATTTTCAAACCGGAAACAATAAAATAAAACTACTTTAACCAACGTCGGATAACATTATCTGAAGGTGGATCGTTTCCGTGCTGATTTCTGTAACCATGTTATATTTTGAAAATGGGCAATATGTCGAAAAACCAAAGTACGCACATTGCTTTCCCTTGAACAGTCGCCATTTTTAGTATGACGTCATATTTTCTTCCAGACATCAATGAGAGAGAGAGAGAGAGAGAACAATTGAAAAATAATAATAATAATGAGCTACGCTTTCGTATTCCGTCGGCAGTTTTATTTTGACTTTTTCGCTTTCAAAATTATAGGCCTCGGAAACCACGATAATAATTTAGAATCACGTTGAAGAAAGTCGTCTTCTGGGTTTTGGCCGACGTTTCGGAGGAATGTCGGCCAAAACGAATAATACACAGCGCCAAAACCCAGAAGATGACTTTCTTCATAGTCATCGCCGTGAAAACCTCAAAACTTACATAGAATCACGTTGTATATCATGTCTAAACTCCAGTAATATACGTACGTACGTACGTACGTACGTGTATGAGAAAGAGCGGCTGTCGCTACGACATCACACGAGTGTTTGAGTTTGCTGTGTTGTTAATGGATAGTAGGAAACTTAAATGTCTGTCATTCAAGAGACCCCTAATATCACAGCAGTTACTCTTAGGTTTCATAGAAAACAGCCAACTGGTGATAGAGCAGGCAGGGCACACACAACTATTATTGTGACCTCATAGAGACCACTTTTCTCGTAAGAAATGGAACTAGACAACAAATTTCCTTCCACCTTTCAGTAATTAATTATAAACTGGTCTATTATAATATTAACCTGAAATGCAGAATTTGTTTATACTGCCATATACTTAAGGGAACTAGAGTAACGCAGTCGGTATAGGGACTGACTAGGGGCCGGACGGAGTTCGAGTCCCGGTACAGTCAAGAATTTTCTCTTCACCGCCTCATCCAGACCGGTTCTGGGGCCCACTCAACCTCCTATCCAATGGGTACCGGGAGCAATTTACCCGGGGATAAAGTTGACCACTCACCTCCAATTAATGCCGAGGTCAGGAAAACGTGGATGTATACATCCACTCCCCATACGTCATGGCGTAGTGCTCAATTTTCTAAACACAGGGACAACTTTACCGTACATTTGACAATATACTTGTGGGAGGCACGCGTTAGCATATTTGGTTGAGGCGCTGTGCTACAAGCCGGGAGGTCGCGGGTTCGATTCCCGATGTCATTGGATTTTTCAATTAACGTACTCCTTCCAGCCGCAGTATGGTTCTGGCCTCGACTCAATTTGTAACAGAAATGAGTACTAGAAATCCTACTGGGGGGTAAAGAGCGGCCGGCGCGTAAGGCTGACAATCTCACCGCCATCTGTGAGCCGATTTTCTAGAACATGTGGAAATCATAACAACACGAGCCTGCATGGCCTGTTACCCTATTTAAGATGTGCTAGCATTCCGCATTTAAATTACGCAGACATGAGCGTTTCCGGTGCCTAGGCCCTCCAGTGACATGAGTCAGATCGCCCTGCAAACAGAGTGGCCACCGAGGCACAAACCTACCTAATACTAATACTCCGTTTGTGCTGGAGGCGTGCTAGAACGTACTACACAAGCCACTGTATGGTCTACGCGATGTCGTAACATCCACCCTTCCGCCTGGTTGACCTGTTATTATCTGTGAAAACTTTGGTATCGGCAAGCCCTCTCCGACGCGACACACGCTGATTGCAAACAATTTCTGACGTCTCTGAATTTCCAGAATACATTCACGTGACTGCAGTTGTAATTTGTTTCAATCACGGCATGTTTACAGATCAATAGTTGCACGTGGTATTGCTACTTGAGGTGCATAACCTGTGGCAAGCAGTCACAATACAACCTGCGACACATGCATCCTATATGATAACTCAGTGCACAATCACAAAATATCACAAACACACAGCAACCCTGTTGGATGCTACTAACACATTTCGTCTACAGAGGGAAATGGGGGGGGGGAGTGTAAGTTCAATTCTCGACATCACGCTACAAGAAGGTAGGTAACGCGTCCTTCGTCAGTACGTAAAAATTCAAGTATTTATTTGTAAATTATAAAGGTAAAAATGGTAAAGAAAGTAAAGTTGTCACTCTGCTTATCTAATTAAGCATTACGCCATGAAGGAGTATGGTGGAGTGGATGTACAGAGTCATATCCTCTTGACCTCGGCACTAGCTGGAGGTAAGTGGTCAGCTTCAGGTCCCAGCAGCTCTACGCCCAGGGAAAGAGCCCCCAGTACCCACATGACACAAGGATCGGCGAGCCTGTTTAGGAAAGAAAATTCTTGACCCTACCGGGACTCTTAACGCCTATCCCTCGATCGTCCAGCCTGTAGCCAGTCACTATTCTTACTGCGCTATCCCGGCTCCCGTATTTGTGAGACTAATAAATAAAAACTGAATTAACAAAGAAATCAAAATGAAATGGTGCGCGCGGTAGCGTAGTTGGTTGAGGCATTACAAGGAAGAAAGTCGCGGGTTCAAGTCCCGATGAGGTTGATTTTTTTCAATGTACCTAATCCTTCCAGCCGCACTATGGCACTGGGGTCGACGAAGTCTCTAACAGAAATAAGTACCAGGAATCTTCCTGGGGGGTAAAGCGGGACCGGCACTTCATCTCTCTTCTGTCCAAATATTCTCAACACCCTATTCTCAAACACCCTCAATCTATGTTCCTCCCTTAATCAGAGACAAGGTTACACACCCATACAGAACCAGAGGAAAAATTATAGTTCTGTACATTATAATTTTTATGTTTCAAGACAGCAGACGGGAAGACGAAAGATTCAGGAATGCACGGTAGCAAACCTCCTTACTATCGTCAATTAAAATTTCCGTGCTTTCCTTAATGCACCATATATGCCACTTTCACAACAAAAAAGCAAAACCCTTAAATGAAGACTGAACCTGTCCCTCTGCTTAAACACGAAGTCTTAAAGGCCCGTTGTAGTAGTGAACTATGTGCCGGATGCTCGGCTCCGTGTAAACACCTGCAGTTACCAGATACGAACTGTGGAAAGCACAAACAGACTCCAGTCTTAACTCTCGTGGTTTCTGTCTCGACCGTGAAACTAAAACACGTCTCTTGAAACCGTGCTTTTGTTCTGATGCCGTTTAGAGTAAGTTGTAGTAACGTGGATGATTCTCATGCTAAAGCAAAGAAGGTACATTGCAATTTTAATATTTACTCGTAATAAAAACAAGGAAATATAATCGAATGGGGATTATGCAGTCGTAACATATGGGGGTGGGGGTGGGAAGAAATGTGTCTCCCCTAAAGTTACCTAAGACATTTAGCTGTTTGTAGGATTTGAGTTTCTGACAGCNTAGAGTAAGTTGTAGTAACGTGGATGATTCTCATGCTAAAGCAAAGAAGGTACATTGCAATTTTAATATTTACTCGTAATAAAAACAAGGAAATATAATCGAATGGGGATTATGCAGTCGTAACATATGGGGGTGGGGGTGGGGAAGAAATGTGTCTCCCCTAAAGTAACCTAAGACATCTAGCTGTTTGTAGGATTTGAGTTTCTGACAGCGGAAGTTATGAAGAGTACTACCTTCTGGGATATAACGCCGTGTAATCCATTGAAATTTAGCCCACGTTTCGGAGGAACATGCCCTCCATCTTCAGGGTCGAAGAATAAGACGAATTCTGCTTGCCACTTAATTTCACGCTGGTTCCTCCGAAACTTTGGTTCAATTTCAGTGGACTACACGGCGTTATGTCTTGATACTTGTACACATCTCTTATTCCTGCTAACCTCGTATCCAGAGCAGAATGCCCCAGACGTGGGACTAGATTTTGTAAGTTGTCTTTACAGATCTTCTAAGCCACATCTGTTTATTTTCTTGCAGGTAAGATGTGCGGCAACATCACCTACAGGTCTGCACAGCGGGTTGCCCCAAGCGTATTCCCTATCATTGTGCAGACATGTAAGACAGTTTCGCCCTCAGGTACTCCAATGAAATGAGGGCAGCTGTAAGTAATTACATTTTCTTTGAAAAACTCTTCTCTTTTAAGAACCGATAAGCTCTTCGTATTGGAATTCTGTCCATCTTCGGTGTTCAACTTAAATTCGACATTTTTAAGCCTAAAATCCTCTTGTATCACAGAAAAAGAATCGTGCTTAGGGAAATAATCGTGCATATTCTGAGAACCATACCATTTCAGTATGTGGGGAAAATGCGGTGACGTTTAGCGTTAAATCAGCTGATACAGAAATAACTTCTGCAGACATTTAATTCCTCGTGTAAATTAATATAGAAGAATTCTTAAAAGTTCGGTAGGAAAATGTAACTGGATAAGTATAGAAATTCCCCGGAAATTATGGAATGACTTGATAAATTATGCTCTGACAACTTGGTAAACATTAAAACTTCGCTGTGATAAGGAGCAGCTAGAAGATAAACGTACTGTGACATGTATACCGATTGCTAGGTAAATGCCCAGTAAACACATCCCCGCAACAAACGCGCTCAACAATAGGACGTCTATTCCTGGGCATCGAAGCTGTGAACACTTCTTAACAAGAGATGGCGGTGTTTTCCGTGGGGTCCGTTCTGAGGGGTTATAAATGGGCAAAGAATGTCGCTTGAGCAATGAAATGAAGAGTCGAGTTTCTAGACGCCAGCCTGCCAGGATATGAGCTTGGAAGTAGAGGAATTGAATTGAGTCGAGTCGAGTCTTCGGAATCGGCAGTTGCAGAATACTGGCAAGAAAGGAGTAAGATCGTGACAAGACTTCATATGCGGTTTGGAGTTACAGTGAGACGGTTGTGAATCCGTTGCCAGGATATGACTAGTGAAGACTGAGAATCCTAGCGCGTGTGTAACGGTGAATTACAAAGTGCGTAGAATAGCGATAACTCTATAATTACCGGTAGTCCCGAACTGTGTGACTGTATGAGGTGCAATAAATCCAATCCAAAACCCAGTTCCATAAGTCACCCCTACGCGTGACAATATGATCAGTAGGAGATGTTTCGAAAGTTATGCTTCGTTTATTTGTAGGAACCCCCTGACTTTGGAAAAAGGGAAATTACTATAAGAGAAGGTGAATGTGTTTTCTTTTAAAACAAACGTTGGTGCAACTTCTACATAAACAGTTGGTCTAAATGTTACATTCCACGGACAATCAAAGGAAACCGTTTCATTTATATTCAGATTTTAATAGTCTGAATATTATCAGAAACCTTAGCAGTCGTGGCGACATGACATTACTGGAGCAGAAACAGACGGATTTAATTTCAATAAAACTACCGTCAGTGAAGTGAATGCCCTTCGTTTTAAATCTTAACATTTTGGGAGAAAGAAAATACCAAAAGAGAAACAGGAGTTAACTGAGATTAATATGGTATTGTGACTCTACATTTGTAAACACCCCACGACTTTTTGAAGGAGAAGACAAATATTACATAGACTTCGATAGCTCACTCTGACAAATGCCAGTACCTCAGTCATTTTAATGAAGACGGCACCTGGAGAAATACTTGAGTACTGTGTTCCGACTCTCCATTATATACAAGATACAGTGTGCCTCTGAAAGTGGCCAGTTTCCTTTCTATACTGTCCAATCAGTGGAAGCAAAGCTTCATACATACGTGTACGTGTGGTCCCAGTCACACATTTAACTAAGAACTGGTTCGAGGCAAATCTGGCAGTACACATCATGAAGACAGTAGCAACTGATTTTAGGAGATCCATTTTGATCATATGTCTGCTGACTCCCTCCTCTATTGTAATTAATTAACTGAATAATGCTTAAGTCCAGCAGCTACACTTAAATATATTGTAGCGTGTTGCCTATGTAACACGACAAATAAACTCACGCAGGTCTCGGATTTAGCGAATACGTTTATTGGTCAATCTCCTCTACACTTCCAAGTGCAATTATCATCCACTTGTAACGTCGCCAGACGTTTCTTACAGCGCTGGTATAGTTACTTCTTGCACTGCTACTCTCGGTGAAGTCTCCTGTTCCCTCGGAACTACCTGAAGACTGGCTACTCTTCTAAGGTCAGCTACAGACTGCAAACTCGTCTCTTCCAAGTCACATTGCGACTGACGGTCAGTCTCATCCAAGTCAAAGTCTAAGTCCAAGTCACATTGCGACTGACGTTCACTCAGTTAGTAAGTCTTGGTGTCGAGCCCCGTCTGGGGCTCATGGCCAGATATTTACTATTGTTGAACGTTACGGCTTTTTCTTTTGTGGCCCGAAGTCTTATATAACCTGCTTTCGGACGGAATAGAGCGCACCATGTAGGAGCCTTTGGTCTCGACCGCTCTTATGCAACGAACCTTTTTATTGTCCCCGTATTTTTGGGGGAACGCCTTTGATGCTTAAGGTATTCCTAGGCAACGGTCCGCTGGTGTTGCGTTTCCCTGGAAGTATACCTTCTTATCGCAGCCGTTGCCTAGGAAAACCAACCGTGATTTCCTCAACCATTCCGAATTCCTCGCACGCCACAATATCATCTGTTCCAAATGAACGGTCAATCCCTTCCTACGGGCATCAAAATATCGCTTTGCAGACCATTTTGTCGTCATTAATACGTTGTGGCTTTAGCCGGGTATTAAGCCCATTGGTTAATATATCATACTGAAATCGCCGCTCCTGCCAGCGAAGGATCTTTGCGGCGGGCTAACAACCCTCGACTCATGCAGCCACTACTGACATGCGCAGGAGACTGGCTCCGAGCTGTGAGGATCCTTCTCTGCCACATCAAGACGTAACTTAGCCTTACAGTCTAACCAGTTAGCCTTTATGAAGCATGACGTTCAGCGATCCACATCAGCTCTACTTCCATTCATATTATCATACATTGCACTATTAGTATGTAGAATGTAAGGAAAAATAACCCAGGAGATTCAGTTACATATATTTATTCGCTGCTTAATCACAAGAGTCGCAACGTTTCGATAATTCTAGAAAGTTGGCAGCACCGTAGCGCGACAAGTTGGGGCTGCATGAAAGAGGGAGTCATTCAGACCCAGACGAGGCCCCTTTTCACACCGCCAAAATTTCAGGATTTGGGGCACTGATAACCCATAAGCATGTTTGCGACAGCCCCGAGGTCAACGTGAGGTGAGGAATCATGGGCCGAAATGTTGGACCCTGCTTCTTCCACCGGAGGACCACTATGAATGCAGTCTACCTGGATATGCTACAGAACCTTGCGCTCCGAAACAGTAGCCCAATGACCTCGACGGATTCCTGACTTAGCACCTATGGACGTCTTCTGGGACTCCTGNAGGACCACTATGAATGCAGTCTACCTGGATATGCTACAGAACCTTGTGCTCCCAAACAGTAGCCCAAGTTGACGGCCCAATTTTCCACCCAGATGGCGCACCAGCGCATTTTGGTGCCATTGTACGTTCTTCTCTGGACTTATATCCTGGTCAATTAATTAGCAGGGGAGGACCGTTTAAATGACCGCGACGGATTAATGACTTATCACCTATGGACCTCTTCTGGGACTCCTCGGCACGGACAGCGTAGAAAACACCACTCCTCGTTACAGTCGAATCGATGCCGTGGGGACACGTTTGTTTGCGGAACCGTTACTCACTAACAGCTGCCGTGTATTTGCTTACTCCGCTGTCGTTTTTATAGTCATTACTTAACAACGTGTCTACATGCTACAGTATGTTCAAGTTCTTCAGAATTCAGTATAGAGCCACAACCCAAAGAAATCCAAGAAATCCTTTAAAGAGGTGCGGATAATTTCGTAACGTATAGTTGTTACTGCCACCCAGCAGCCTACTTCAAAGCGTTTTAATTGCAATGGAGCCGTGGACTGGAGCACAACGTACTTTTGCTGTGAAAGCATTTAGAAAAAAAAACGGTGACACTTTCGTGATCGCCCAGCGTGAATTTCGAAGAGAGTCTGGTATTCATCGCAATCGTGCCGTTCCATCTGCCCATGCCATCAAGACCTTGGTTCAGAACTTTGAGGCTACTGGTTCTACACTAAAGAAGAAAGACGTTAGATTCAAAACAGCACGTACACCCGAGAATGTAGCGGCAGTGAGAGAAGCCATTGAACGAAATCCACGCCGGTCTGCGCGTCGCCACGCTGTACATCTTGAACAAAACAGAACCCGAGTTCTGATGCTCGTTAGCAGTTTGCCTTTAATGCAGCATCGCTACAGTCTAACTTTAATTAAGAAACAAACAAACATAATTCTTTTCACCTATAAAAGTAAATTTTACAGTTGTGGTCGGAAACATTCTGGCTTCTGCAGAAGTTTCTTCGCTTTTGACATAAGCATAAAGTCAAAAAGATACGATTGCGTCTGAGAATGTACATATTCGAACTGCTGTCGCAAGGTCTCCAGTTATGTAAATGCCTTCTCATGACGTATCGCATTGCGGAACCTACAGCTGTCGTACATATAAAGAAATCTTCAATTCCCGATTTCCTCTTTACAGCTCTGTTCTATTGTGAATTTTTCGTATTTTGCCGTCCGACGGTACACAAAACATGCCTTTCAGTATCGAACACTGCAATCTTTATAAATCCTAAATACGAAGTGAGAAGGCATTGAGAATACGTATCGATCAAGCCGCTCGACTCATCTTTGTCCACTTCTGCAAGGCTGAGAAAGCGGGAAGCGCTACAATGACATGGCACCCCTACTGCAAGTGGCTCTGGGAACAAAACTCCCACAACCACTCTCTTGAGATTTAAATTTCATATCAACTATCCCTGCAGACCGAAGAAAGACTTTGTATGGAAGGTGCAACTTTCATGTCTAGAACCAACAAAAGTCGAGAGAGGGCCGTGTTATGATCATACAATTTTAGTGTTATTAGGCAAATTTTAATTACATCACGTTCAGGCCTGAAATACAGAGCATAGCAAACTGTTCCTTCACTTCCTGTCTATCGACATGGTGGAAACATGTGGTTTTTTTAAAATAAGACGCATTATATGAACGTAGTTAACTTTTCAACAATATTTTTATAAAGTGCTG